AACATTTTTACGTGCGACCCTCACACAGTAATTTACTCAAAGGTCGTCGGAGGCTAGAAATGAACAAGGTCATAGAACAGAGAAAATGATCCATACAGCAGAGAGCACATACCAACCCACCTCTGGAGTAGCTACTATGTTATGATTTCATTTGCAACAGCCTTTTTTTTTACACTGTGTGATCCCCCTATATTAAGATAAATTAAATTGCAGCTGTAGCTGAAGATTTTATTAAGATTCAGCATTCACCTTCTGCTAAGGTAGCCACCTATGTTAGTTAATTTAAATTAGACCAGAGGGTTGACTAAGTGTTTGCTTTCCAGGTTTGCAATATGCAGATACCCTTTCTTTGCCCTCCACACAACACCCACAATTACTGAAATATCACACAGCTATATGTGTGAAATAACCATATTCTAATATGCCTTCTTAAAAGCGGCGATTCCGCTTGAGAAAATTCAATTAATATTTAGATAATTTCTTTACATATCTCTACATTTACAGTGCAAATGAATGATCTATTATTCATTTATTCCGATTATGAGAGTATGGTAGGACTTGACCATAAAAGATAGCAGAACCTTTTGGTTTTATGTCCAAATTGATGTCCAGGCTTGTATGTGTGTGTGTGTGTGTTTCTGTGTGTGCCCCCCGCCCCCCGCCTCCCACTAACACAAACACACAAACACAAGCGCGCACACACACACACACACAGCCTATTACAGCGAACCTTGTGGGGGGACACTATTCAGTCCCATTCAAAATCCTATTTTCCATAACCCCTAAACCTAAACCTAACCCGTACTTTTACCCTAACCCTAACCTTAACCCAAAAACCTAACCTTAACCCTAACCCTAAAACTACAGTGCCTTGCAAAAGTCTTCATCCCCCTTGGCGTTTTTCCTATTTTGTTGCATTACAACCTGTAATTTAAATGGATTTTTATTTGTATTTCGTGTAATGGACATACAGACAATAGTCCAAATTGGTGAAGTGAAATAAAATAAAATAAAAATCTAAGAAATAAATAGCGGAAAAGTGGTGCATGCATATGTATTCACCCCTTTGCTAGGAAGCACCTAAATAAGATATGGTGCAACCAATTACCTTCAGAAGTCACATAATTAGTTAAATAAAGTCCACCAGTGTGCAATCTAAGTGTCACATAATCTGTCACATGATCTCAGTATTCAGTGGGGGAAAAAAGTATTTAGTCAGCCACCAATTGTGCAAGTTCTCCCACTTAAAAAGATGAGAGAGGCCTGTAATTTTCATCATAGGTACACGTCAACTATGACAGACAAAATGAGAAAAACAATTCCAGAAAATCACATTGTAGGATTTTTAATGAATTTATTTGCAAATTTTGGTGGAAAATAAGTATTTGGTCAATAACAAAAGTTTCTCAATACTTTGTTATATACCCTTTGTTGGCAATGACACAGGTCAAACGTTTTCTGTAAGTCTTCACAAGGTTTTCACACACTGTTGCTGGTATTTTGGCCCATTCCTCCATGCAGATCTCCTCTAGAGCAGTGATGTTTTGGGGCTGTCGCTGGGCAACACAGACTTTCAACTCCCTCCAAAGATTTTCTATGAGGTTGATATCTGGAGACTGACTAGGCCACTCCAGGACCTTGAAATGCATCTTACGAAGCCACTCCTTCGTTGCCCGGGCGGTGTGTTTGGGATCATTGTCATGCTGAAAGACCCAGCGACGTTTCATCTTCAATGCCCTTTCTGATGGAAGGAGGTTTTCACTCAAACTCTCACGATACATAGCCCCATTCATTCTTTCCTTTACACGGATCAGTCGTCCTGGTCCCTTTGCAGAAAAACAGCCCCAAAGCATGATGTTTCCACCCCCATGCTTCACAGTAGGTATGGTGTTCTTTGGATGCAACTCAGCATTCTTTGTCCTCCAAACACGACAAGTTGAGTTTTCACCAAAAAGTTATATTTTGGTTTCATCTGACCATATGACATTCTCCCAATCCTCTTCTGGATCATCCAAATGCACTCTAGCAAACTTCAGACGGGCCTGGACATGTACTGGCTTAAGCAGGGGGACACGTCTGGCACTGCAGGATTTGAGTCCCTGGCGGCGTAGTGTGTTACTGATGGTAGGCTTTGTTACTTTGGTCCCAGCTCTCTGCAGGTCATTCACTAGGTCCTCCCGTGTGGTTCTGGGATTTTTGCTCACCGTTCTTGTGATCATTTTGACCCCACGGGGTGAGATCTTGCTTGGAGCCCCAGATCGAGGGAGATTATCAGTGGTCTTGTATGTCTTCCATTTCCTAATAATTGCTCCCACAGTTGATTTCTTCAAACCAAGCTGCTTACCTATTGTAGATTCAGTCTTCCCAGCCTGGTGCAGGTCTACAATTTTGTTTCTGGTGTCCTTTGACAGCTCTTTGGTCTTGGCCATGGTGGAGTTTGGAGTGTGACTGTTTGAGGTTGTGGAAAGGTGTCTTTTATACTGATAACAAGTTCAAACCGGTGCCATTAATACAGGTAACGAGTGGAGGACAGAGGAGCCTCTTAAAGAAGATGTTCCAGGTCTGTGAGAGCCAGAAATCTTGCTTGTCTGTAGGTGACCAAATACTTATTTTCCACCATAATTTGCAAATAAATTCATTAAAAATCCTACAATGTGATTTTCTGGAATTGTTTTTCTCATTTTGTCTGTCATAGTTGACGTGTACCTATGATGAAAATTACAGGCCTCTCTCATCTTTTTAAGTGGGAGAACTTGCACAATTGGTGGCTGACTAAATACTTTTTTCCCCCACTGTATATACACCTGTTCTGAAAGGCACCAGAGTCTGCGACACCACTAAGCAAGGGGCATCATCAAGACCAAGGAGCTCTCCAAACAGGTCAGGGACAAAGTTGTGGAGAAGTACAGATCAGACTTTGGGTTATAAAAAAATATCTGAAACTTTGAACATCCCACAGAGCACCATTAAATCCATTATAAAAACATTGAAAGAATATTGCACCACAACAAACCTGCCAAGAGAGGGCCGCCTACCAAAACTCACGGACCAGGCAAGGAGGGCATTAATCAGAGAGGCAACAAAGAGACCAAAGATAACCCTGAAGGAGCTGCAAAGCTCCACAGTGGAGATTGGAGTATCTGTCCATAGGACCACTTTAAGCCGTACACTCGACAGAGCTGGGCTTTACAGAAGAGTGGCCAGAAAAAAGCTATTGCTTAAAGAAAAAAATAAGTAAACATGTTTGGTGTTCGCCAAAAGGCATGTGGGAGACTCCCCAAACATATGGAAGAAGGTACTCTGGTCAGATGAGACTAAACTTGAGCTTTTTGGCCATCAAGGAAAACGCTATGTCTGGCGCCAACCCAACACCTTTCATCACCCCGAGAACACCATCCACACAGTGAAGCATGGTGGTGACAGCATCATGCTGTGGGGATGTTTTTAATCAGCAGCGACTGGGAAACTGGTCAGAATTGAAGGAATGATGGATGGTGCTAAATACAGGGAAATTTTTGAGGGAAACCTGTTTCAGTCTTCCAGAGATTTGAGACTGGGACGGAGGATCACCTTCCAGCAGGACAATGACCCTAAGCATACTGCTAAAGCAACACTCTAGTGGTTTAAGGGGAAACATTTAAATGTCTTGGAATGGCCTAGTCAAAGCCCAGACCTCAATCCAAATGAGAATCTGTGGTATAATAATTTAAAGATTGCTGTACACCAGCGGAACCCATCCAACTTGAAGGAGCTGGAGCAGTTTTGCCTTGAAGAATGGGCAAAAATCCCAGTGGCTAGATGTGCCGAGCTTATAGAGACATACCCCAAGAGACTTGCAGCTGTAATTGCTTTGGGGGGGGGGGGGGGGGGGGGGGGGTGAATAGCTATGCACGCTCAAGTTCTGTTTTTTAGTCTTATTTCTTGTTTAATTCACAATAACAAATATTTTGCATCTTCAAAGTGGTAGGCATGTTGTGTAAATCAAATGATACAACCCCCCCCAAAATCCATTTTAATTCCAGGTTATAAGGCAACAGAATAGGAAAAATGCCAAGGGTGGTGAATACTTTCACAAGCCACTGTAATTCAAACCCTAACACTAATTCTAACCTTAACCCTAAAACTACTAGAAATAGCATTTGACCTTGTGGGGACCAACAAAATGTCCCCAGTTGGTCAATTTTTTTGTTTGTTTACTATATTTACACACACACAAACACACACACACACACACACACACACACACACACACAATGCTTGGCAGTGGCACACAGCAAGGTCACATCTGCTGGAGTGAATATATTCTCCTTGTGCTTGGCTGTACATGCTCCACTGACCAACTCCCCCTTACAGAGAAGCCCACTTCATGTGGTCAGTGCATTGGTCAGCTCTCCAGGCACAGGCAATTAGGCTAGAATTATGTTGAGGCTGAGACACACACACACACATTCACACTCCCAGCTCCATGAGGCACCACACTCCATATTCTTTGTTATTTATTGTGCTTTTCTAACAAAAGGAGATGAAATAGGTCAAGCTGTGAACAGACCAGTGAGGCTGCACAAGGCTCCTGCTCACAAAACTGATAAATGTCTCCTGCTTAATGCAATCATAGGCTATTCATCAGTGCTTCAGCTCCCATCTCCTGCAAGCCTGCACATCACTACCTACAGTACCTGACACTGTTGTTTCCACGGACACATGTCAATTACATTATGGGCTGTCAGTCAGGTTAGGTACGACAGCTACTGTAGCTCTCCTCCTGGGCCAAATGGCAGCCTATTCATAGGGCTCTGGTCAAAATTAGTGCACTATATAGAGAATAGGGTGCCATTTGGTACTCAGACATTGGTTTGGCTCGCAGACAACATCTCAGACTACATCCTTTAGGTCAGGCCTCTAATAATCTAAAACAAATGAATGTTTGTTAGATAAATAATGCAGACTGAGAGAGACTTAAATCCAGTGGTATACCTTAAACAGCTGGTGCAGTAAACCACATGCTGAGCCCTAACGGAATTGTAATGGAACAGATGTGGGCAGAAAGTAAATGTACTGTATAGACACATGCTGTCAAAACAATGTATTTTAGCCCAACTTTTTGGGATGAAGGACATGTCACAAACTAATATAATCTAATAACTGTTTCCCCCTGCAGCAGTAGACCTAAACCCAAATAAAACAGTGCATAAAAAAGGACAAGAAGCCTTTTCATAAAGCCATCAGATGAATTGTTCTGATATGAATAGTGTTGCATCCCAATTGGCATGCTATTTCCTATAAAGTACATTATTTCTGACCAGGGCCTATAGAGCTCTGTTCAAAAGTAATGCACTATATAGGGAATAGGGTGCCATTTGGGACACAGCCCTGGGCCCAGATTCACAAAACCTTCTTAAGAAGAAATGTCTTCTTAACTGCGATTTTTTCCATAACTATAGACTTAAGAAGAAAGTTAAGCAAAGTTGCTATTACTCAAAAAGGTTCTTGGTATTTTTTTTGTGCTATTTCTTATGTTTCTCCTTAAGAAAAAAGTGAAGAAGAAATTAGATTTTTGAAAATAAAGTTATTGGAAATGTTCTTAATTCCAAGATAGCTAAACCCTTGTCTTAAACTCAGGGCAATGAGAGAAAAAGCTCATGAAAGCAATTGAACATGTTTAATTCACTCACAAACTTCATCTGAAAGTTTCAGTATTGATTATTTTAAACACAAGAACATGTTTTAGAACCGTAATCTCATTAAGAAATATGCTAAAATGATTGCCATTGCTAGCTAGATAGCTAGCTAAAACGGTTGCCTAGCAACAAACATCTTAAGAAGATTTGTAAGAAGATATTAGAGAAGTTCGTAAGAAAATCATTAAATCTTAAGATGTTGTTGAGGAATTGCACTATCTTCAAAAAAAGTTAATACGTTTTTGCATAGAAGTGTTTTGTGAATCTGGGCCCTGGTCTCTCCTAAAACATCCATCCGTTCCCTCTCCTGTGAAGAGAAAATAAAATAAGCTTCTAATGAGTTGCTGCTGGCTCTGGTCTGCATAGTCATGAGCTCTAATTGGCTAAAGGACCTGACAACAGACACCTGTAGGGCAGGTGTGGTCACGACCTTTCAGAGCACTGTCCTGTGGACATCCTCACTAACGGACACCTAAACAGCAGGAGGGCTGTGACCTCTGGTTCCAGTTGTGTTCTTTCCAATATGTGTACGTCGGTAATAAATGGGCCAGTCGTACGCCCGCCACACACCAAAGACGTGCGTTGTATGTTCACCTAGTGTTTGTACCCTATAATTGGCATGTTTAGTATTCATTTTGCTTCTCAATCTCTGCAAATTGGCAACTGTTGTCAATTTACAGGGTATTTTCTTGTAGTATTATCCATACAGTGAGCTCCAAAAGTATTGGGACAGTTGTTCATTTGAAATGATACAATGACTAATTTCTAAACGGTTCACCCGATATGGATGAAAACACCCTCAAATTAAAGCTGACAGTCTTCACTTTAACCTCATAGTCATTGTATCATTTCAAATTGCTGGAGTACAGAGCCAAAACAACACAAATGCGTCACTGTCCCAATACTTTTGGAGCTCATTGTATGTAAGGTAGATATGCGTATTGATTTCAGTTTAACATGAGAACAAAGAAGGCATGCAAATGTGTGAGTCGGTGCATGTACAATATGTGTGTTTGTCCCACAATATTTTCCCTGTATTTCAATTTTTGTGTCTTCCTGCGAGACACACCCTTCATCAGTACACCGTGGTGTGCAGTACAGTACAATACAACAGTCAAATTCAGCATCTTGTGTTTTTTACAATATTCTGAGCATCAGTCACATTGTAAATGAAGGCCTCCCGTCTGCCCCATGCTGTGTGGCTCTGAGTAGAAGCATTGATCCACAGCTTTGAAGCACTGTCCTCCACATGGGGCAGGCAGAAAATAGAGATCAGGAAGTGTAGCGTTCTTTCCTTCTCCTCCAGGTCCAAAGTCATCCATTATTCCAACCAGACCAGCCTTCAAAGGCCTCCACTTCCGCCCGGTCCACCGCCCTTATCAGAGTGGGCAGCAGGTAGACTTGTGGTTAAGAGAAGTGGGCCAGTGTCCAAACAGTTGCTGGTTCTAATCCCCACAGCGTCACGGTGAAAGATCTGTCGATGTGCCCTTGAGCAAGGTATTTAACCCTAATTACTCCTGTAAGTTGCTCTGGATAGGAACATCTGCTAAATGACTTAAATTAAGTGGTGGATAGGTGACTGGAGAGAACTGAAGTGGTAAATATGGTCATTTGGAAAGGAACCTCCTTTTATTGACGTTTAGACTTCACAGTTGAGTTGAAAAGTATCTTTACAAAGGCACCCTGTAGCTATTCCACATTTCAAATGTAGCAGTTCAGGGAAATGGTTTGACAAGAAACTGATATTTTTGATAATTCAGAGATCACAGAACTTTGATGCATATTGAAGCATGTGGGTTTGTATGTCAGGCCAATGGGTGAATGAGTGATTTCCTCATAAACTCACATGTTTACTGTCCAGTTGAGATCCCATTTTTCAATTAATTTCTTATTTTCCAAGCCACTTGTGACTTGAGAAATGGATGAAAAAAATTAACATGATCTAAATCAATCTAATATCTTTAACTAGAGGTAGATGGGGTGTTCCATTTCCCCTATACTGTTTGTGGTAGCTTTCGAGATCATCCTGATCAGAGCAAGACAAGTGGTAGGAGGAGTTAAATTACAATCTGGGCAGAAACTACCGCCACTGTGGAGCTACATGTGTGCTGAGGACTGCAGTATATACATCCAGACTGTTGGAACGACTGGATGAGCTAATAACCTGGACAAGGATGAAGATCAAACCTACCAAGTCAAGAAGCATGTCACTGTGCAAAGGGATCAGGAATGACAGAATCACATTTGTTCTACATTTACATTTTATCAGGCGCTCTTATCCAGAGCAACTTACAGGAGCAAATAGGGGTACGTGCCATGCTCAAGGGCACATCAACAGATTTTTCACCAAGGGGATTCAAACCAGCAACCTTTCGGTTACTGACCCAACGCTCTTAAATGCTAGGCTACCTGCCGGTGTGTGTAGCCCCACAATAGGCGGAGAGACCATACCAAAGATAGCAGAGCAACCCATCCGAAGCCTGCGGAGGCAATACAAAGCATATCTGTCGGACAGAAACATGGGAAAGGCTTTCCTCAAATAACTCTCAGACGGCCTGATTGATGCAAAGCCAGCTACCCAAAAAGGACAACACGTAGTGATACCAGTTCACGCTGTACCAACGGGTAATGTGACCACTGAAGATGTGTGAAATCGTTTAATCTACGGTGAACAAGTGGTGGCACAAGGTCAGCAGGGGTGCTGGACAGTGTGGGAAATGTGTTGTCAACAGGACTGTCACCTGGTCGGACGTGTGGAAGATCTCACAGGCTCGCATCAGATTTCTGATAAGATCCACCTACAACACCTTGCCCTGCCCTTGGAACCTGCACCAGTGGTATGGCACAGAGACAGCCTACAAGCTTTGCAGCAACACCAACGCAAGTCTCCAGCACATCCTGTCAGGCTGCAAGACTGTGCTGACACAGGGTCGATACAGGTGGATGCACGACCAGGTGTGCAGGAAGCTGGCGTAAGTGTTTGAGGCTAGGAGGCAGGAGGTGAATAGGGCATGCCCACCCCAAGCATACAAGCAGATCACCTTCGTCAGGCAGGGAATGGAAGCTGAACGTAACATCAAGAGGTCACCTCCAAAATTCCTCACACCAGACATGGAGTGGAGCATGGAAGTTGACCTCGGCAAGCAGCTCCATATCCCGAGGGAGATAAGCAGCATGTCACTACGACCTGACGTCTTACTATGGTCAAGGGAAGCCAAAACCGTGCTGACCATTCCTAAGGAGGATGGGGTGGAGGCTGCCCATGAAAGGAAGTGGCTGAAGTACTCAGAACTGGCTACGGAGTGCAATCCCATCATCTACCCCGTGGAAGTGGGATGCAGAGGCTTCTTGGGAACTTCAACAATCCACCTTCACAATGACAGAAGTGAAGCTGAGGAAGGCAACAACAGAGCTGGCAAAGAGGAAGGACAGGAGTTGGGGAACGAAGAACTAACATCTAGAGCAGGGGTGTCAAACTCATTTTCCCAGGGGACCGCATTTGGTCTTAAACGAGGTCCGGAAGGCCCCCTGAAAATTGGTTATATTTTCTTGCAGTCTTTTATCCATAGTTCTGGGAAATTTCGTAGCTCCCTGACTGTCTAGTGATTATTAGCAAGCTGGACAGTCAATAAACTGTATGAACGTCAGTCCATTATCATTTCTACACAGTTTAGATTTGGTTTTCTCACCCAGCAGTGAGAGAGTCCTCAATATACCCTTCCATCGCTTTGGTCTCCGGACCCGACAGGAAATAAAGTCGCCCCCGAGGAGGTGTAGTGCCCGGGAGAAGGTCAATGGCGCAGAGTCATAGGGCCGATGCGGAGGAAGCGAGGTGGCACGGGCCTTGCTGAGCACGGGCCTTGCTGAAAACCTCCCGGAGGTCTTGGAATTCCACGGGAACGGCGGAGAGGTCCTGGGCTTTTCCCAAGCCTGCAGGAAGATGTCCCGGGGCAGGCAGCACCGACTTCAAGCAATGTGCATTGCAAAACGGGCTCCAACCCAGGATAAAACCAGTAGCCCAGTCGATTAGAGGAGGAAAATCTATTCCCAAGTGGGCCGGACCAGAAAAATTATGGTATATATAACTTAAAAACAACAACGTCAGATTGTTTTCTTTGTTTTAATACGATCAACATACAACATAAAGCTGGAGCCTGAGGACAGTGTGTCCAAAATAGTACAAGCACAACATCACTATTAATCATAAAACACGTCAAGTTTATTTGAAAATTCTAAAGAAAAAGAACACACAAACACACAATGCCTCAGTGATTAACAGAACTGTTTCACAGATCACAGAACTATATCAGGGTGTCATTTCTCAGGCAGAAATGTAGATAAAAATAATGAAATCCTGTTCCCCAAACAAGTGCAAGAACCACAGAGTCAAGAATAGGTTAAATATACAAATAAAATAAAAACAATTAAAAACAATAGCACATCAACATAAAAACATATAAACATAAAGCTGGAGCCTGAGGACAGTGTCCAAAAGCACAACATCACTATTAATCATAAAACACCTCAAGTTATTTGAAAGTTCTGAGGACAAAGAACACACAAACACACAATGCCTCAGTGATTCACAGAAGTATATCACAGATCACAGAACTATATCAGGGTGTCATTTATCAGGCAGAAATGTAGATAAAAATAATGAAATCCTGTTCCCCAAACAAGTGCAAGAACCACAGAGTCAAGAATAGGTTAAATATACAAATACAATAAAATCAATTAAAAACAATAGCACATCAACATAAAAACATATAAACATAAATCTGAAAGCGTTGCTCAAACTCCCGTAACAGTCCAGTTATTTTATCTTTGAACCGCTTCATGTCTGCCACATGTTGGGTCACGCACACATTTTTCAGACAGGGGAAGTGAGCTGCATCACCACCGGCAAGTTGCGTCTCCCACAATGACAGCTTCAACTTGAAAGAACGTATGCTGTCATAATACTGCGTGACAACTTTGTTGCGCACTTGCAGCTGTTTGTTCAAGTTATTCAGGTGCTCTGTAACATCCACCATAAATGCAAGGTCCGGCATCCATTCTGCGGAATGAAATTCTAACACTGGTTTGCCCTTTTCTTCCATGAACTGTTCAATTTCTTCTCGTAAATCAAAGAAACGCCTCAGCACAGCACCTCGGCTTAACCATCTTACCTCAGTGTGGTATGGCAGGCCATAGATGTGGTCTTTCTCTCTGAGAAGGCTGTCAAACTGACGGTGATTCAGGCTTCTGGATCGGATGAAATTAACAGTTTGGATGACCACCTTCATGACGTTTTCCATCTTTAATGACTTGCAACACAAAGCCTCCTGGTGCAAAATACAGTGAAAAGTCAAAAAATCACATCCTCCATTTGCAGATTGCACTTTCTCTCTGAACTTTGTCACAACGCCTGCTTTTTTCCCGATCATTGAGGGCGCACCATCTGTAGCCAGGCTGACAGCGCGGGACCAGTCCACTCCGACCCTGTCCAGCGCGCCGACGAGTGCGGTAAAAATATCAGCTGCTGTCGTTGTATCTGTCATCGGCACCAACTCCACAAACTCCTCGGTGACAGTCAATGTGTCATCAACTCCGCGGATGAAAAAATGGCCAGTTGTGCAACATCTGTAATGTCCGTGCTTTCATCAATTGCAACCGAAAACGCAATAAATGACTTTACTTTTTGCTTCAACTGGCTGTCCAAATCCACTGAAAGATCGGAAATCCTGTCTGCAACTGTGTTTCTTGTCAGGCTGATATTTGCAAAAGCCTGCCGCTTTTCAGGGCACACAATCTCCGCTGCCTTCATCATGCATGTTTTTACAAATTCACCCTCACTAAATGGTTTTGAAGCCACTGCGATTTCATTAGCAATGAGGTAGCTAGCTTTCACTGCAGCGTCACTGATGTCTCGGCTGTGAGTAAACACAGACTGCTGTTTCTTCAGACCCGCCAACAGTTCATTCACCTTCTCTCATCTCCGCTGTCCTTGAAAGTTGTCATATTTGTCGGCATGAAGACTCACATAGTGGCGACGAAGGTTATATTCTTTCAGCACTGCAACATGCTCTGAACAGACCAAACATACAGCTTTCCCATTCAATTCCGTGATTAAATAGGATGACCATTTTTCTTGGAACACTCTGCACTCTGCGTCCACTTTTCTCTTTTTGACAGAGACATATTGGGGCAATGAGGGTGCCAAAGCACATAATGTTAAAAGTAGAAGCCGTAATAAATATCGCGGGCAAAACAAAGTAGCTCATTGGCTGCACGTGCTTGACCTACTTGCTCTGCCCCGGTATAAACAGTTTGCTTGCTTAACACAATTGCTATTGCGCCATCCAGTGGACGCAATTGGAACAGCAGTTTATTTTATAGAAAAATTGCAGCGCATTTTTAAAAAAAAAAAAAAAAAAAAAAAAAAATTATTATCATCTCGCGGGCCGGATTAAACCCGTTTGCGGGCCTGATCCGGCCCGCGGGCCGTACATTTGACACCCCTGGATTAGAGGATTGTGCCTCTGGAGCGAGGAGAACCCTAAATCCACGGGTGCATGAGGGGATTCAATGGGCAGGAACTGCATACTTTCACTGTGATTGCCCGACACTCTCAGGTCAATAGGAAACGTAGTGTGGGTGACTCTGCCAATAGAGCGCCCATCCAACGCTCTGACGTCCATGGGAATGGAAAGGGGTTATGTGGGGATTCCCAGCTCCAACACCAGGGTAGCGTCTATAAAGCTCTCGTCGGCCCCAGAGTCAATGAGCACCCGGAGAGATTTGGACCGGTCACCCCACAACAGGGTAGCATGGAGAGGGGTACGAGCAATGGAAGGTGGGAAAATCCCCATACGGCTCACTAGCGTACTCGTACCTACTTGATGAACCTGGGTATTTAATGGGCAGGTAGCTAAGAAATGTCCTGTAGCTCCACAATATAGACAGGTCTGGGTGTTAAGTCTGCGTAAGCGTTCAGCAGGAGACAATCGACCCCTGCCCAGTTGCATGGGCACTTGGTGATTCCCGAGAGAACTCGGGTGACATCGGGTTCACTCGGACATGTAGACTTTAGGGGTTTCCGGGTTTCCTCGGAGGCGAGGTGGGAATCGAGGGCTAGCGAGGGCGACAGGGCACAGATTCCCTCTCCCTCCTACGTTCTCGTAGACGTCCATCGATCTGGATGGTCAAGGCTATGAGGGAGTTGAGGTCCATGGGCAGCTCCCGGGCTGCGAGCTCATCTTTGATTACCACCGATAATCCGTGAAGGAACATGTCGAACAATGCTTTGGGTTCCAGGCACTTTCAGCCCCCAATGTGCAAAAATCCACCGCGTAGTCTGCCACACTACGGGAGTCTTGACGTAGCTGGAGCAGCTTACGAGCAGCCTCTCTCCCAGACAACGGAGAATCGAATACCTTCCGTACATCCGCCACAAACTCCTCCAGGCTGAGGCAGACAGCGGACTGTTGCTCCCACACCGCCATAGCCCAGGCAAGTGCCCTCCCAGACATCAGCGTTATTAGGTACGCTATTTTCGATCGGTCCGCAGGCAAAGAAGAAGGCTGCAGCTCGAAGACGAGGGAGCACTGGGAAAGAAAAGCCCGGCAGGTTCCAGAATCTCCAGCGTAGCGCTCCGGAGGAGGTATGCAGGGTTCTAGGGACACTGGTGTAGGCTGGGAAGAAACACCGCTGGTGGCGGGGTTGCTGAGAGTCTGAGGGATCACTGGTGTGGCCCGCTGCCTGTTAGGGAATTCGTGGAATTGCTCCAGCAATGTATCGAATGCCAGGGTATGGAGTCCCTCCATAAGGCATTGCAGTAGCTCCTCGTGTCTTCCAATGATGGCTTCTTGCTGGGAGACAGCATTGTGGAGCTGGTCTGAGTCTGCTGGGTCAGTCATGGCCAGTTCATACTATCACGACTCAAGATATGACCCAGATGCAGACACAGGAGGCGGACAGTACAGTTCTCAATGATAATTTACTAGAACACGGGGAAGGCAAAGGTCGAGGACAGGCAGAGGTTCTTAAACAGGTCAGAGTCAGGCAGGTACAGGACGGCAGGCAGACTCGGGGTCAGGGCAGGCAGAATGGTCAGAACCGGGAAAACTAGGAAATAAACACCTGAGAAACAGGAAAACGGGAAAGCACGCTGGTAAGACCTGACAAGACAAGACGAACTGGCAACAGACAAACAGAGAACACAGGTGTAAATGCACTGGGGATAATGGGGAAGATGGGCGACACCTGGAGGGGGGTGGAGACAAGCACAAAGACAGGTGAAACAGATCAGGGTGTGACACTCAGAACAATCTCACAAAAAATACATTCTG